TTAAAAATATGAAAGAAACATCAGCGCTTTCCCTACCCCGAAAATATTCTCATACCTTTTGTTCTGTAGAATTCAGTAAAAATTTGAATTCAAGAAGGCTAAAAACAAACTTCAAAGATGGCATTGCAAGAGATGAATACAGTTATCAGAGGAAATAAAATTAAGACAGAGCAATGCTAGAGCAACACTATTTTAGAACTATTTAGCAGATGAGAAATAGAATACAACTGCTACCAGGTTATTATAGCGGGAAACTTGAAATAATTACAGTGTGCTCTAAGTAAAAATTAAAGAGAATAGATGTGAATGATGATAAAGGCATCCAACATATGGATAATGCTTATTCTGAAAGCTAGAAGAATATTTCCTTGAAATGACTAACTAATTCTGTAAGACCAAATGGGCATAGCTATGGGAAAGTTGAGGAATAACAATTGCCAAGTAACAATTGTACTGATTTTGGTTAGGATTTTGAATTTCCTCATAAAGAATTCTTCAGACAGGGACCTAAGTGCCAAAAACCAAAATCAAAACATAAAGAAAATCTCTGCTTGACCTCTTGCATCTCCACAATATTCACTATCCTAATACAATGAAGCTGTGCCTATAAACTTTGGAGGGAATGCAAGTGGAATCCAAGGATATGACCATCAGCCAAATTGTCCGTTATAAAGGTGATGAGGGGAAAAATAAAATATAATGTCTACATGTATTATTAGAACTACTGATGTTGAGCTCTTTCAGGTAACATAGGTGAGCGAGAAACAGCGTCTAAGTATCAAGATAGTACACAGTGCTTGGTAGTGGTGGAGCAGTGACTACAGATCTGTGAGGGAGAGAGGGAACCAAACTTTTCTTCCCAAACGTCTCTTCTTTGAGTCTAAAAGCAAAAAGTCAAAGAATCGAAAAATGTTGAGGCTTTTGTAAAAAACAAAACCAACTTTAGGATTTTGATGGACTCCTGTCTCACGTTTAGGTCTTTCAACCATTTTGAGTCTATTTTTGTGTGTGGTGTAAGGAAATGGTCCAGTTTCATTCTTCTGCATGTGGCTGGCCAATTTTTTTCCGTTGGACATTCTTTACTGCTTTGTCGAAGATGAGTTGACCATAGAGTTGAGGGTCCATTTCTGGGCTCTCTATTCTGTTCCATTGATCTATGTGTCTGTTTTTGTGCCAGTACCGTACTGTCTTGATGATGACAGCTTTGTAATAGAGCTGGAAGTCCGGAATTGTGATGCCGCCGGCTTTGCTTTTCTTTTTCAACATTCCTCTGGCTATTCGGGGTCTTTTCTGGCTCCATACAAATTGTAGGATTATTTGTTCCATTTCTTTGAAAAAAGTGGATGGTATTTTGATGGGGATTGCATTGAATGTGTAGATTGCTCTAGGTAGCATTGACATCCTCACAATGTTTGTTCTTCCAATCCATGAGCATGGAACGTTTTTCCATTTCTTTGTGTCTTCTTCAATTTCTTTCATGAGTATTTTATAGTTTGCTGAGTACAGATCCTTTGCCTCTTTGGTTAAATTTATTCCTAGGTATCTTATGGTTTTGGGTGCAATTGTAAATGGGATCGACTCCTTAATTTCTCTCTCTTCTGTCTTGTTGGTGAATAGGAATGCCACTGATTTCTGTGCATTGATTTTATATGCTGCCACTTTACTGAATTCCTGTATGAGTTCTAGCATTTTTGGGGTGGAGTCTTTTGGGTTTTCCCCATAAAGTATCATATCATCTGCAAAGAGTGAGAGTTTGACTTCTTCTTTGCCGATTTGGATGCCTTTTCTTTCTTTTTGTTGTGTGATTGCTGTGGCTAGGACTTCTAATACTATGTTGAATAGCAGTGGTGATAGTGGACATCCCTGCCGCGTTCCCGACCTTAGGGGGAAAGCTCTCAGCTTTTCCCCATTGAGAATGATATTCGCTGTGGGTTTTTCATAGATGGCTTTTATGATATTGAGCTATGTACTGTCTATCCCTATACTCTGAAGAGTTTTGATCAAGAAAGGATGCTGTACTTTGTCGAACACTACATCAAAAACTAATGATGTAATGTATGGTGATTAACATAACAATAAAAAATTAAAAAAAAAAACAAAACCAACTAAAACTCCTTGCAGATACAGTTTATCACATGAAGTAATGAATTAAAAAGAACTTAGAAATGGAGAAATTTTGTATAAAAAGTGTTTTGGGATGTAGATATGTCTACATTGTGGGTAGTATGGTTCTAGAATAGAACGTGAGTACAATAAATCCTGTCGGGGTAAAAATAATATGACCAGAACCAGGCTTGAGGTGGAAGTTAAAATGTGTTATTTGTTTTCCTCTCGTAGAAGGAGGTCAACAAGTACTGACAAATGAAATTCGTTGCCATTAAAAATCCAGCGTCTTAATCCTCTCCATGCTACCTTTCCTTAACATTTAGAAGCTTAGTGCTCTGGAAAATAATCTGAAGCTTAGCATCATCTTCAGGTTTACTCTATTCAATTTTCTTTCCTAACTAGGTAAAAAAAAAAAAAAAAAAAGACAGGAATGTCATCTCATTAGAATGTATTACTGCTTTTGTTCTGCGTCCTTTTTGTCCTACTGTATATATTAATAGAGAGTTGTGGGAATGATGTTTATTGAACGTTGAAGTTACTAGGTAGTGGAATTTTTGGATTTTTTGTTTTTTACCTTTTTCAAGTTGTTGCTTTTAAGAACATAGACCGTTTTTCTTGAAATGACTTTTTTTCTTTAAAAAAACTGTTGTAAGTTTAAAATACCTATTTATTGTTTGCTAGCAGTAAAAACAGGATGTTTCTGTGTGCAAGGATCCCATGCCCTGTCCTTAAGAATTCTCTCCATTTCAGTACTTACAAAGCTAAATATCTCTCATGTTCTCATCCTAGACCTTATTTACGTATATGCAAAAGAAAATTTTAAATTAGGTCATTTTTTAAAATTCAAATTTACTCACATTTTTGAAGTTAAGATCTGATATGATTGTCTTATATCTGTTAAGTCAAACTTGGCAGGATCTGAGGAATTATATGGTACGTGCCTGCAGACATTCATGCTAATATCTTATGTTACAGGGTAAGACCTGAAACTCTGTGCTCAGAGAAAAGACAATTTGTTACAGCAGTAGCATTAAGGAGCATAACAGTGTAGTGCTGATTTTCTGAATTGCAGTTCCTACAGGGAAATGCAGTTACAACTAGGTGCTGTCTTGGGATGCATTAAGAAGACTCTTGATACTGGGGAGCACTTGCCTTATTCAGGGACTGTGGGCAAACCAGTACATCCTCCGGTTACAAAAGAGACATTGTCTTTATTATTCTGGAATGTCAAGCAGACCTGCCTCAGGGAGAGAGATGACTTTACCTTTATTTTCTGGAACATAAACAGATTTGCTCCAGGAAGACATGTACCTATCTTTGCAAATCTGCCTGCTATGCAAACATCTTTGAAAAGTCAATCTGGAGTAAATTAGCTATTAATACCTTTGAAAATGTTTGGGTATATGAGAAACCTCTTGGAAAATTGTCTCCCTATAATATCTAGAATATGTGATTCCTTGAACAAACTAAATGTTACCTAATGAAATCCAGTTTCTTCCTATTTTATTATCAATATACGGCTGATGCATATGGAACTGTTTTATTATTTTTTTAATGTTCTCTCTGAACTTTGTACTCAATAAGAACTTTTTTTTAAAAAGCTTTTATTATTTGAGAGAGAGAGAGGTAGTGACAGCACAAGTGGGGAAGAGAGGGAGAAGCAGGGAGAAGTGAGCGGAAGGCAGACACTTAATTAACCGACTGAGACACCCAGGTGCCCCTCAATACGAACTTTAAACTGAAAGAAAAGTCTTGAAATTTATGAGCCAACTAATTTCTAGCACTGCTAAGACCTCAAAACCTTTACTTCTCTAATATTTTGTCAAAATTGCATAGAATTAGGATGAATCCTACTTACGATGTAATGCTCTTAGAAGTACAGGGTTTAATGTTTTACTAAGTGACAAGCTTTCTATTTTAGAATAGTAGGTTGTAAAGACTTCTAAATGTAATGCCAGTGCTAACCACCGAAACGTGACTTTCTGGGCAATTAGAATAGTATAGATAAAACACTTCCCTTGTTTAGTAATTAAATTTTCATATTGGTATAAGAAGGAAAAAAAATGGAAGTTAATTAGAATATTGAGCAATATGGAATAAAAATGTCATTAGGAAAATTTTTCTTTTTAAAAGATTTGAGAGACCATGCACGTGTGCACAGGGAGGGGAAGAGGGAGAAAGAATCTGAAGCCGACTCCCTGCTGAGTGGAGAGCTCCTACACAGACTCCATCTCACAACCCTGAGATCGTCCCCTGAGCCAAAATCAAGAGTCGGATGTTTAACTGACTGAGACATGCAGGCACCCCTCTTTAGGAAAATTTTTGTAATATATGTATTATTCTAAATCGAGTCTGGGACCACCTCTGGTAATCATCTCTTCATCTCTTGCTATCATTGTCCTACTTCAAGTCTTATTTCTCTCATACTTACACTATTATAATAATTTCTTACTGCCTTCCCTGTTTTTAGTCTTTCCAGGTTAGTTAAATCTAGGTAACTGTAGAATTTAACGTTTCCAGAATCATCCAACAATCCCTGTGTAACCAACCTTTTAATAATAATTCAGCATTTTCTGCAGTACATCCTTTGAATAAGGAAAAACAGTTACTTGGTTGTCCCTGCATATACCCTCTACCTTTTCTTACTTAAAACTATTTACTTCAGCTATATTGGTGTTTATCAAAATAGTCATCATTACTCATGGACTAGTTCAAATGTCTTTTTCTTGGTAGCTTCATAAACTGTAGCCGGAATTATTTTGTTTTTATCTATGATTCTTGGCTTTATGTGTCTAGTAGTTTTGTACTCATTTTTAACTGTCTTTTAGGTTCTCATTTGGTTTTTCTATCTAGTTTATAAACTCCTTTTTCTTCTATTTTTTTTTTCTTCCTAGCATGTAAAAGTCACCTCTGGAGCTCTGTGTCCTGCTGGCAGAGATCTTGAGCAAATCATCTTAGAGCAATGCTACAATTACGTTTGTGTGAATGTGAGTAGTGAATTTAAATTATTGGAAGCACTTGAGGATCTGTATGAATGTAAATGTGGAAGATAATTTTTTTCTTGATTCTTAATTATTTGAATTTAAGTTTTGATGAGGTGTGTTATTCAGTATGTATTTGCAAGTTTTATTTTTTAACTTTTGAAATGGAAAAATAATATTTTCTAACAAGCTAGTTCCCATAATGAGAAGAGGGTAATATTTCTTTAGACACCATTTTCAGTTACCTGGTATGAAGCAGTTAAGATGAAACATGTTTGAATTAATGAATAGTTTAAATTTTAATAGGACCTTAATGGGTATCCTTTAAAGTTGTTCAAAAAGTGAAAACTAAGCTTGATAAATGTTTTAGATGTATGTATAAAAGTTCTCCATTTGTTTCCCTTTTATTTTTAATTATCCTTGGATTAACATTTAAATCATTTAAGAACTTATTTTCACTTTTATTTTTCTGGTCTTTCAGGTTATGTCCTCTGATTTTGAGGAAACCCGGAAATTATTGAACATGCTTGAAGAGAGTAATCTATCCATTTTATATCCTATTGTTGTTATTTCAGTAAGTGAATTAATGCAGGTATTTTAAAAAATTTAAATTCAAGTTAACATATATTGTAGTATTGGTTTCAGGAGCAGAATTTAATGATTCATTACTTATATATAACACACAGTGCTCATCCCAGCAAGTGCCCTCCTTAATGCCCATCACCCATTTAACCAGTCACTCTACCCACCTCCTCTTCATCAACCCTCAGTTTGTTCTCCATAGTTAAGAGTTTTTTATGGTTTGCCTCCCTTTCTGTTTTTATATTTTATTTTTCCTTCCCTTCCCTTATGTTCATCTGTTTTGTTTCTTAAATTCCACATATGAATGAAATCATGATATTTGTCTTTGACTGACTTACTTGCTTAGCATTATACTTTCTTGCTCCATCCACATTGTTGCAAATGGCAAAATGTCATTTTTTTTTTTTTTTTTTTTTTTTTTTTTTTTTGGTGGGAGAGGGTCAGAGGGGGAGAGAGAGAATCTTAAACAGACTCCATGCCCAGTGTGGAACCCAGCGCAGGGCTCGCTCTCACAACCCTGAGATCATGACCTGAGCTAAAGTCAAGAGTCAGATGTCTTGGGCGCCTGGGTGGCTCAGTTGGTTAATCAACTGCCTTCGGCTCAGGTCATGATCCTGGAGTCCCAGGATCGAGTCCCTCATCGGGCTCCCTGCTCGGCAGGGGGTCTGCTTCTCCCTCTGACCCTCTTCCCTCTCATGCTCTCTCTCTCATTCTCTCTCTCTCAAATAAATAAAAATCTTTAAAAAAGAAAAAGTCAGATGTCTAACCACCTGAGCTATCCAAGCGCCCCTCATTCTTTTTGATGGATAGTAATATATATATGTATCACATCTTTTTTACCAGTGCAGATTTAACTCTTCAAACTTAGGCTTCCTTCCTTGAAATCAACTTTTCTTTTTAAGAAAATTTCACCCTTGAGGAAATCCATCCAAACCGAGAAGAAACTCTTCTTTATGGATTCTTGAGCTTACTCTCTTGCTATGATCTCTATGACTGTGTTCCTTTGTTACTGCAATTATTTGTTTGAATCTACAAGTTTAGGAAAAAAATAATCCAGCAACCAATTTCATTTCTTTTTCTTCATTACAACTACAAAATATACTGCTGAGCTGACTGGTTGTTTGGATAAGATGAAAGAACTTTATTAGCATGTTAGCAGAATGCCATTGGAAAAGAAATTTCAAAGTTAAAAAAAAAATGAGAGGGAAAATATGTGGAAGAAAATGGACTGTTTGATAATTCTCTGTCATAGGGACAGCAAAAGTAGAGTTAGAAACAGATGAAAGAGAATTTCTCAAAGAATGGCCCATGAAAATTTTGGGAAGGTCTTTCCTGTGAAAGACTTAAAGTGTATGTTTAGTATACCATTTACTTAATTGGCCTATTAAACTGCACAGAAGAGGGGGAATCTCAGAGAGCACAGCCAGGAAGGAATAAAATCAGAGGCTAACTGAGTAGTCTGTAGTCTGTGACATTTTGCTATGGGAAGGGGTTCCAAATGTGAAATTCTCAAAACATAGCTATTGCTGAGTTTCAGAAGCTCAGTCCCATCCCGATAATGTAGGAATTTAGTTCTTGTTAAGTAAGATCATTATACAGAAAGAAAAGATAATTTGTGCTACAAAAAAGTTGTAAGTCTAGCATTGCAAGTATAAACAAATTAGCACTTGGGGGAGATTGATTTCGTTGGCCTATTGTATTTGGTTATATACCCTAAAGATAAGTTTCATGGATCCTGCTGTAATGGAAACTAAAGTTCCACAAGTGACTGATTTTATTGGATGTTTATGTCTTCATTGGGGTGTTTTGGGGGACATTAGGAAATATACATAATGCTGGAAGACTCTAAGGCTCTGTAGGGTACAAGTATGTTAAAAATTCTGTGTATGGCCCTCTATTCCTCCCTCTACATTAACTTGCTTAGAAATCTCCTCTCTATGTTCCTAGATAATATTCTGAAGTTTCATGTATCAGTATCATGAAGGGGAGCAAGGGCTTTGAACTCAGAATTCCTCAGTTCCTTGGTCAGGTTACTTAACTTTCCTGAGGCTTGCTTTCCTCATTTTAGAAATGAGGTTGATAACTCTACTTCTTAAATCATTGTAAGGATTAAAATGAATGAATGAAAGCATAAATGCAAAATGCACTTGCTTTCTCTTTGGCAGGCATACGTTGTGGCACGTAACAGCCTAGCTCCTCCTCTTTCCAATTTGGATGAGATGACTCAAAGGTCACTACCACTGCTTTAATTTGATTTGTGAGTTTGAGTCAGACATTTTCAACATTCCCTTAAGTACTTGAGTTTGAGTACTTCATTATCTTCTCCCACATACTCTATTAGATCTATCACAAAAGCACATTTCCTGTGAGCTGACTTTTCTTAGTGGGAGTAATTGTGGCAGGCACCCAGGGGGGAATCTGTGTCATCTGTGAATTTTCTGTTTACCTTTTGCCTCTGCCTTTTGCCATCAAACATGCACATGTGTGCACACACACACACACATACACACAGATTTAAAACTGTTCTTCTATTTCATTGCTCCTCTTGTATCTCAACCTCTGTTCTTTGTATTTTTTCCATAAATATTTGAATTTAATTTTCTGCTTATTCCTGTGGAGTTTTATGTATCCCAGTAAGTGCCAGAATTTTTTTTTTTTCCTTTCTGGTGTTTCTGTATTAAACTAAGGAAAAAGATAATCCTCTAGTTAAGGAGTAAATGTCTCCCAGAACTACTTTGAGGATAGTACTATTATAAGTCTGTATACTATAAACATTGTAAAATGTTTACTTAAGATTGGAGAGGTGTTACTTCTCCATGAGTAGTATTTGTTCACTCATTATTTTCTCATTGTATATAGGTAGACTCAGTGTAGGAATATTAAAGCTATTATTAAACTTAATAGGAAAATGTCATTAGAACACATCTAGAATCTGTATCCTTAGAATAGACTGAATCACTGAAAAGGTAGAATAAAGAACGCTGCCTTCTTGGATTTGAGAGGCAAGCAAATTTCCCCGGGGTTTTGAGTTGTCCTGTAAATGATTGTAAAAGGCATCATCCTATCTCTTTCTGATAGTACTTTCCCCCAAATGGCTAAAAGGCCATTTCAGCGTTCCTGTGACTTAAAATTGGGCCGAACCATTCAAATATTCCCCAAGTTAGTAGTTGTGTATAAAATATTATTATAATTGTAAAATACATAAAAGACTTAAACTTGGGTGTAAGTATCTGGGGACATTTGTACATTATCAAGTGGAAAATACTTACATATATACATATAATGTCTGGGGGTGTAAGTGTGCACACTACTTATGTATATAATTAGAAAGATGTTGTAATAGGAAGTTTATAGACTATGGTGTGCCTACTTGGCTTTTATCTGAATTACTTTGCTGGAAGATTAAATCATACCATGGGAAAAATTTTTTTTTTAATAAGGCTTTTGTTAAGCAATTCTAAATTCTGAGAATGGTCAAAGAAGAGTTTGTTTATTTGCTTCCCTGAGTGGATAGGTTTTATTTACCAGAAAATAAATCTAAAATGACATCAAGGTCATGGAAAAATACATGCATTTTTATTTTGGAGTTAGGTGATTCAGTGGTTATTGAATGCATGTATTGTAAATGTTTAAAGACATATTTTGTCTCTGCTGAGCTGTAGTACAATGGTCCTTTTTTCTTTGTGAGGGTTTGTCAACTTCCAGTTTCAGTCCATCTGAACAGAGGAAGGCTTATTAGGAATCAGGCAGTTGCGAAGTAAAATTGTGCTTAATGAGGTGTGTGTGAGGGTTTTTTCAACCAAGAGACTAGTTAAGGTGGTCGTTTGCAATGTGACCATGTTTCACTCCACAAGGACAAAGTTTTAGAAGAAATGGGGCTGAAGTTAATCTGGGGCATTTCTTGGGCAAAAACAATACTTGATCAGGTTTTAAGTGCTGAAAATTGGAGGATGTCTGCCATGCTGGTGAAGTCCGCATCGTCTCTTGTTTTCTCAAGGAGATACAGAAAAATATTTTGGAATTCCCTATTAATTGTCATTCAGTAGTCATTTAAAAGGTACATGTGACCTTCATCCTCATCTGGAATATTTATCCCTTGGAGGGAGCTAAGCACCGAAGGAGAGACCAGTTAGTGTTGTTGGATTCTTGGTACACAGGTATTTAACGTGATTAGATTTTATTTCAGGGTGTTGATTGAAGATCAACTTCTCCTTGACTTTTATAAAACTGAAATGTGTTAGGAAATACTGTAGGAGGTGTCTGTTGTCTAAGATAAACTAACAGGTAGGATGCTACTACTTTAAGATCTACTTAAGAAGAAACAATTTCACCATGAAAAGTAGAAAAAATAATTAGGACTTTATCTTAAAATAACTAAGTTATTTATCAAAGTAATTTTATCTTTTTAAAAAAGGAACATCTTTGCTAAGTCTTGTGAACGTTATATGATAAGTTGTGACATGCTTCATTTCAAGTGGTCATTTTTACAAAATAGTTTTGGACATTTTAGTTTTCTTTTATTAATACATGGTTCACAATTCTCTTTGGCACTATCTGTTAGGTCATTATTCTTAGTTTATTTTGAGCAGTCTGATTTGGCCAAATTTTCATTTGTCGATGGTGTTGAGTAGGATTTAAAGAGTTTACCAATGTTAATTTGATCAACTTAATAAAATCCAAAGTTTTGGTAGATATAACTTAATTTTATTGTAATTATATTAAGTCATCAGAATTGTTCAAATTTCTGTGATCAGCTAGAGACTGATAATGCTGACTGGGCTAAAATGTCATTCTTAAAGTGGGCAGATATAGTTGGGTGGGGTCAATTTACAAATTTTTATTTCTCATTGAATCTACATCTATTTTGGGATGACATTTGTTAAGCTATGTAGCCTTTTAACTATGAGCCTTTGGAAACACATAATCAGATAACAAGTATGTCCTGTACTAGGAAAATGCTTCTAATTTGAAAGAAAAAAAATAAGTACTTTT